GCCAGTGGGATCCTGGGGTGCATCAAGAAGAGTGTGGCCAGCAGGACGAGGGAGGTTCTCCTTCCCCTCTACACTGCCCTGGTGAGGCCTCATCTGGAGTACTGTGTCCAGTTCTGGGCTCCCCAGTTGAAGAAGGATGAAGAGCTACTGGAGAGAGTCCAGCGGAGGGCTACAAGGATGGTGAGGGGACTGGAGCATCTCCCCTACGAGGAGAGGTTGAGGGAACTGGGCTTGTTCAGCCTGAAGAAGAGAAGGCTGCGAGGGGACCTAATAAATGCTTATAAATATCTGAAGGGTGGGTGTCAGGAGGATGGGGCCAAGCTCTTTTCAGTGGTGCCCAGTGACAGGACAAGGGGCAATGGGCACAAACTGAGGCACAGGAAGTTCCGGCTGAACATGAGGAGGAACTTCTTCTCTCTGAGGGTGACGGAGCACTGGAACAGGCTCCAACAGGGAGGTTGTGGAGTCTCCTTCTCTGGAGATATTCAAGACCTGCCTGGACAAGGTCCTGTGCAGCCTGCTGTAGGTGACCCTGCTTCGGCAGGAGGGGTGGACTAGATGACCCACAGAGGTCCCTTCCAACCCCTACCATTCTGTGATTCTGTGATTCTGTGAAAGAATGTATTTCAAATACAAGATTGACTTATGAAAGGTGCTGATACAGCATGTATGGAAGTTATGTAGAATTAGTAATTAACATCTGGATTTCTTAGAAGAGGGCCTAGAGATACTTGAGATATCTTCCTCAGCTACAAATGAACTTTTAAAAATAGCAGATGATCTTATGTACTTTTGGGGTATTCTATTATAAAACTATAACTTTAAAATCATAGTCTAACTGAAACTCACAGTGCAGCTTTCAAAAGCTGTAGTTAGGCATTAATGTTTTCGTATGCCATTCAGCACAGGTAATGTGATTTGCTTAAAATCGAGCTATTCGCATCACTTGCAACCATATCACAAGTGAATGAATTCCTTAAAGTATTTTTAATTGCACTTAAAATTAAGCTGTGGCCCCCAAATATTCAGTGCAGAAGTGAGATTGCAAGCAGAAGTAGTCATCAGTAAAAGGAAAATAGGGCATTTTTTGTTCCTTAAAGACTTTTTTTTTCTAACAGTCAATTTAGTAAGAACTTGGAATTGCATGTGTTTATGGAAAGCTTGCAGTGCTGGGGAGTTTGGGAAAGAAGTCTGAAGGAAAAGAAGGATGATTACCGAAGTTCTAGGTATAATAAATGGCAGTCTATTCCATTGTATCCACATTTATTAGCAATGATGGCTAATACCTGAGCTGAAGTTGAACCCTATAGATTTGTGTGAATCTGAAGGGTTTCCACATCTTTCTCTGTATGACTGGGTGTGTGGCTGGCTGGAGATCGTGGAGGGGAGGATTGTGTCATGCGTGTAACAGTGTGCGTAGTAGAGATTTTGGCTGAAGATTGAAGTAAAGCCAGGAGAGGCAACAGCTCCAAGCTTTTGTCTTTGTCTCACCTGTTTGCTCTTTCCTCAGAGGTGTTGAAACTGTAGGAGGGATTCACAGTAGTCCTCTCCTAGTTGCCTTGTGATTGCAACTTATTGCCTATCTGCAGTCTCATACACTACTACAGTATCCAGAAAGATTTAAAGTTCAGGCAGCAAAGAGGTAAACTGTTTTTTCTTTGAATATTTGTGTGGTGTAGTACAGAATTTTTCCATTAACACTCTTAGCATAAACAGTTCAGAGCTCATAGAGCTAAGATAGTAAATTTAGGAATTTTAACACAAGATGCATTAAGTAAACTGCTGAGTTGCAGCCAAATTTCTCTGCTTCTTGTGACGGATCATTATTTCTGCTGCGGTGTATCAGGATGCCTGTCTGGTTGGCTTGCTGAAAATCTTCATGCCAGATGGGACAGGCTTTGCTGATAGAACTGTTTAGCTTTTAGTAGTAAATGGGGGTGGGGTGGGGTGTGTGCAAGTGT